AAAAAAAAAAAAAAAAGGGATTAGATTAAATTAGTCTACTGCCCAGAAAAGCCTCTCCGGCCAGGAGATCGTGTTTGAGGCATGGTCGACCATGGTCCCCAGCTGATGTAGATCCCGTTTGAGTGGCACCAATAATTATAAATTCTTTCTAGGCCATCATGTGGATTCCAAAGACTGTAATTCTTATGTGGAACCCAGGCATTAACTTGTCTCCCTCCTGGAAATATACTGACTTGCACATCAGAAGTAGTCATGAAAGGTCTTCAAGTGTTTACAGAAAACTAAAGTCCTGAAGATATTTAGTTCATGTCAACTCACTGGCCACGATTGTTATGGATCACAGAATTGTCCAAGACTTCCTCTTTTGCAATTGGTAATACATACTGCTGTACTTGGAGTAGTGCCTTCAGCCAGGTGGAAAGGAAAACAGAAAGAGCAAGGCACCTGCATTTCCGAGGTAGACCCTGATGGTTTATAGGATTTGTTCAACTTGGGCCTGGGATTTTGGGGGAATGCGCTTGAGATTGATACTTTAAATTGGCCTCATCCTGGTGCTTGGAGTCCTGTTAATAGTAACTTTAACTAAATGTTGTATGAGCCAACTTGAATGGATTTGGTCTTATTCTCTGTCAGATTGATGAGTATAGCTGACGGAGTGGCATATTCATGGAAAAACGTACCAGGAATTCAGATAATTGGGTTGAATTGTGGCCCCCCCAAAAAGTATCTTTATGTCTTAACCCCTAGAACCTGTAGATGTGACCTTTTTTAGAAAAATGGTCTTTGCAGATTAACTAGGTTAAGGATCTTGAGGTGAAATCATCCTGGATTGTCCAGACAGGCTCGAAATACAATACCAAGTATCCTTAAAAGAGACACACAGAGGAGAGACACAGGAGATTAAAAGGAGGAGGCTGTGTAAAGATGGAAGCCAATATTGGAGTGACACATCTACAGCTAAGGTATACCTGGGGCCACCAGAAGCTGGAAGAGGCTAGGAAGGATTTGAGCCTTTGGAGGAAATCTGGCTGTGCGAACAGCTTGATTTTGGCCTCTGCACGAGAATACATTTATGTTGTTTTAAGTCACCCATTTTGTGGCAATTTGTTAGGGTACTCTCAGGAAACTAATACAGCTGTGTTGAAATGAGGGTTGGATATTGTTGGAAGAAACTTTTCTGTAAGTATCTCCTTTTATGGTATATCTTGCAAGGAAGGCACTGACTGCTCTTAGTTCTGGATTCTCTTTTTAAGGAATTGCCTTGGAAGAAAGAGTTAGTGTCTCCCTTCAGTGCACAGGGCAGGTGTGATTTGGCCCTTATAGAAAAACGTGGGTTCCTAAACTCAGGCTTTCTCCCCCGTGATGCAATCCACTGTGTGTTCAGGTGTCACCTGGCTGCTTCACGTCACCTGTGGGAGTTGGAGTCTGGGGACTGGTGCAAGATGCTGATACTTTGGTTACTGCTGTTACTGTGAGGAATAAATTGTCAGCTGTCCCCAGTCCTGGCATTTCATATGTTCTATCAGCATCCAGGAAACTGGCAGGTTAATTTGTTAGTTTGGATATAGTTTAATTCTCAGCATCTTCACAGTTATTGATAGATATTATTCTTAGATCTTCTGTAACTAGGCTGTGAGTACCACGTTAGCTCTGTCCCCACCCTCAATAAATGCCTAATTTAATTCTCTCCGCTCCCCCGACAGTTCTCTAAAACTATGTGCACGTTATTTGTCAAAGAAGCAGATGATCTTTAAAGAGATTGATTTAGTATAACATTTTATATTTTCATCAGTTAGTAAAGAGGAGTGAAGAAGAGGGAAATTTTTGCTTTCAAAAATCTGCTGAGTCAAGGAGTGGAGATGTTGACGAACAGATGAACAGGAGCCAGTTTTATTATCTTTACAAAGTCATACAGAGTCAAGAGTGCTTTAGTTAGAATGTATCATCCGTCCTTGTCACCTCAAATTAGATGAAGAGCTGATTTGTTGACAACTTTTCTTCAGGCAAGAGGCAGCGTATTCCACTCCTGGCTCCCCACCCCCCCCCCCCCCCCCC